TGATTTCTTTCTATACATTCGTTAACAATTAAATCTAAAGTGACAGTAATGTTCACTTTTAATCATTGCCTCAAAACATTTCAATACCAAGAAAAACCAATGTAAAATATATTATTTTTTTTAAAAATTCTGTTTTTAAAATACTAGAATTCACTGCAGCACTGTGTCACTTTAAAAATAGTATTGTGATAAAAGCACTCCTAACATACTTTATAAATATTGAAAATTTGAAATACTTTTTTAGTAGGAAATTCTTAATACTATAAACTACACTGAAAAGAAAGTTAATTTTGATGTAGGCCACATTTCACTACTAACACTTAATAGTCATGCAAAATTGATAACAATTTATTCACAAAATTCTAGAAATACAAAGTGTGCTATCAAACCTAATACATCAATACATAAACCAAACCATTGCTGTTGAGTTGATTTTGGCTCATAGCAACCCTACAGGACAGAATAGAACTGCCCCATCATGCTTCCAAGGCTGTAATCTTTACGGAAGCAGACTGCCACATCTTTCTCCTGCTGAGTGACTGGTGGGTTTGAACCACCAACCTTTCGGTTAGCAGTAAAATACTTAAATGTTGCGCCATCAGGGCTCCTTCAATACATAAAAGCAAAGTGCAATAAAATACTTAATACTTTAATATTCACCCCAGTTCTAAGCTGAAGAATTGCTTATAACATTACATAAAATAAACACTTTATTACAAATATAGATTTAATTCCTACATAATTTTACAGTTCATTTAGAAAACATCATTGCGATAAACCATAATTACACTTAATTAAAAGAACGTCGTCTTAATATTTTTTCATTTAAGCTATCTCTGTTGTCTCGCAAGATGAATTTCAGACCTGCGAAAGCTCTCTCAACACTGAGCTGAGTAGGCGGTGCACCTCAAACCACCGTAACAATTTCATATAACTGGGGATATTGTGAACAGTTTTCTTCCTAAAATTCAAGAATACTTTTTTCTCTCCACTCTTTGAACACCATCAAAACTTGTTAATAGAGTCAATATAAACAGTACAGTTGTTTGATAGCAATATAACTTTTTTTCTTTCATTTTGAGAAATAATTCCATCTCATCCATGTCACCATTTGAAATGAAGATATTCCCTGAATTGCTTTCTTTTGTTACACTTTGAGTACTGCTCCTTTTCAGATCTTCTGTCGTTTCCCAAATGCTTTTTAAATTTAAATGGCTTCCCCTTAAATTCAGAACTAATTAGAATTTGATAACGAGGATCTAGATAAACTGTTCTTAATATGCTATCATTTTCAATGATAATCTTTTCCCTGACATTAAATTTTTCAATCAATATGTTTCCGAATGTATTATTAAGAGTTCTTAATTTCATTTTAGTTTCCACCCACATATCAAAAACATCACTCATGGTTAATTGTTCACTTTGCAATCTTCCTTTGTTTGCAGTCATTCTATTTTTCTTTCTTTTTTTTTATTGTGCTTTAGGTGAAAGTTTACAGCTCAAGTTAATTTCTCATTCAGAAACTTATATACATATTGTTTTATAACATTAGTTGCAATCCCCACAATGTGACAGCACACTCCTGTTTTCCACGCTGGGTTCCCTGTGTCCATTCGACCCGTTCCTGTCCCTTCCAGCCTTCTTCACTTTGCAATCTTGCTGTAACTTTCTTTAAAGGTTTTAAAGTTTCTAAAATTAATTTCACATATGCCCATTTGTAATTAAACCCATTGCCGTTGAGTCAATTCCAACTTATAGCGACCCTATAGGACAGAGTAGAACTGCCCCATAGGGTATCCAAGGAGCAGCTGGTGGATTCAAACTGCTGACCTTCTGGTTAGCAGCCAAACTCTTAACCACTGTGCCACCAGGCCTCCACATTTGTCATTAGAAAAGTAATATTTCATATTATTCTCAGCTGATGCACCAAAGAGAATTTTGCATCCTAGTAAGTTTTCTAACATGGTGTGTATACTGTTCATCTTGTTGGGAAATCCACTACAGGTTTTCTTAAATTATTTTCTGAAAATTTGGTATACAATGTTGGAATACGAAGTACTCCAACAAGTTCATGACATTCTAAAAATTCTTCCAGTTTAGCATCATTTTTGCGTCTTTAATAACTAATTGAGATGTGCATGCAGCACACTTTATACCAGTCTCTCTTTTCTTATAAATCTTGTCGCTTTCACAGCGACGGTTAATGTCTGCAAGTCAGAGTGCACTAAGTCAGAGTCTTCAAATTCATCATTTTGCCCTGACATTTGCCATTCGATTTCACGTTCATTTCTGAGCAAACTAACAAATTTAATCACGTTAAAGCCATTATCTGTGGTTACAGAATAAATCCGTTGTAAAGCATTGTTGTACTTCTCTAAAATTTGATAGACGGTGTTTTTTTTTTTTTTTTAAATGTACAGACTTGTGTGTATTTCTTTTAATTCTTTCATGCCCAGTGTCAACAGATGTGTCTTACCAACTTGTGTGAATTGAGGTTAATTCCTATAATTGACCAACTCAATCTACTGGCAATAACCACCTTCAAAGAGAATATTCACTTTTCTAGGTTACTACTAATTTTGGAGCTAAGCTTTAAGGACAAGCAAGGTATCATTTCCCTAAAATTCTCTGAGTTGATTGAAAAAGCTTGACCAATTGAAGGAATAATTGGATTTAAAATTTTTCAGAATCCTGAATATTCAATTAACTCAAACAAACAACCCTTAACAGTACCTAATTCAACACATCATCGACAATTGTTTGTTACCTAATTTCTCCTTAAGGCATTCCGGAATGGCAAACTCATCTAATGTTTTTTGTTGCTTATTTGGAACACTTCTGACATTTTCTTCAGTCTTTCTTGTCTTCTTGCCTTGCACTGCACTGTATTCATCCTTAAGGTGGCACTACAGGTGCCTCTATAAATTCGCTGCTTGGTCTCCAGCCATATCTATGTTGCAAATTTTACACGTGCTTTTATTTTCAATCTTTTCATACTTGAAAATTCTTGACATGGATTTTCTCTGATTTGTCCCATACTAGAATTCAAGGGATAAGAAATAATATTAACATTAGGGCATATTTTGTAGTCACTATATTACATTACAGTAAAAACAAGTCTTAGACTTTGGTAGCATAAAAACAATAGAATGCATAAATACATTCGTAGAAATGAATTAGAGCCAGTACATATTAAAATGCTCCTGGCCGTGTATCTTTGGTATATCAGAAAAATCAGAATAACTTCGATTTTACATTTACAGGGTTTGCTGATTTCTTCCATTTGAAGTCCCACTTTACAACGTTCTTGTACATTTATCCAGCACCTTTTGAAGAAAAATCTCAGTTCATAGTGATGCCATCAAGTTGTTTTCAGTGAAATAATGGTATATCTCAGTCGAAACATTTTCTTCCAACCAATTGCTGATTTGTTAACTTTTCGGTTTGTGAGATAAATATCGAATTTAAACATGTAAGTACAGTTTGGGAGAGTACATTTACATCGAGATTGAATACAATAATGGAATCCTCCAAAAATTATATGCAGTTTTCTATTTCTTGAATTTAAATATCACACTTAAATGTGAATAACGTACGTTGAAAATGTTTACAGTCATCTGACAATTTTCCGTTCACGTGAAACTCTATTGAGAACTTGATGAACTTTAACCAGCTCGTTCAGATTTCTCACTAGGAGTATTCTCAATTGGCAAGCGTTTCTCAGGTGTTCGGTAGGCATAGCTAGCCCGTTACTGAGAAAGAGCAGTGAAGCACCGAGGGGAAATAGCAAACTCCGACTGGCCTATGAAGCGTCTCGAGTAACAGCAGACATCACCTATAGCTGTGGCTACGCAGCATTGCTTGCCCCAACAATGAACTGTGCCCTCCTAGCCATGTGCCAGAAAAAACAACCAAACAAAAAAAACCAAACCTGTTTCCGTCGAGTCCATTCCGACTCACAGCGACCCTATAGGACAGAGTAGAACTGCCCCATAGAGTTTCCAAGGAGTGCCTGGTGGGTTCGAACTGCTGACCTTTTGGTTGGCAGCCGTAGCATTCGTCATATACGGGCACCAGATCCAAAGCAAACATTAATAGTCCACTGGTCTTGCTTACAATTTAAAAATTATCGTTGAGCCGAAAACAGTGGAATGAAAAAAATAAAGGTTTTTGATTTCGGTTCGGGTTCAGGAAAACATTTTTTTCGATTCATGTTTTGGTTTCACTCTGGCGGAAGTTTTGGTTTTTTTTGGTTTTGGTTTTCGGTTCCGTTCCGGTTCGAAGCCCCGCTTATTTTAATACTATCAACTAGTGTATATGCAGTACTGAATTTGTGTCAGGCACTATCCCAAATGCTTTAATGGACAGTAACTTCTTACTTAATGTTCACGACAGCCCTATGAGGTAGGCATGATTATTCCCATTTTATACATTGGGGAACTGGGGGGCAGAGAGGTCATGTAACATGGCTAAGGTCACACAGCTAGTAGAAGGTAGAGCCTGGATTCAAACCCAGGCTGTCTGGTGCTATAGTTTTTGCTCTTTAATCCCTGTCCCACCTGACCTTTCCACTCGTCAGGTCAGTGGGAGAGCGGGGATTTGGACTCAGGCCTGCGGAACTCCGGTCTTCTTGCTGTCCCATGCTGCCTAGCTGTTGGCAAGACACGAAGAAGAGTGGGAGTTCCTGACTCTCTTTTGGATGGGAAGGGTTGAGAACGGGAGTGTCTGGCCGTTTCCTGTGCTGCCCCTTTTCTCCCCTCTCCCCATACCCACAGTCACTGCTTTCCTCTGGGCTTGTCCCTGCCTTATGTCAGGGCTCAGAGTGGGGCCCGGGGAGCTCATCGATGGGTGTGAACTCCATCCTCTGCCTCACCTCTTATAGGGCTGTGAGCGGGTGGGTCTGTGGTCTGTGCCCCATCTCACTGATGGTGCATTCCCTGGGACCTGACCCTAGGCCTGCCTGGACTCTCACTCTCTCCCTGCCCTTTCCCATTTACCAGTGTTGCTCTCCAAGTCCATGTTATCGGTGACAAGCCAGCCGAGGAGTCAGCGAGAACCACGCAGAGGGGAGAAGTTGGACCCTGGCAAGATGCAGGCCAATATCCGGCTAATGAGGGTATGGGGGCCTGGGACACTGGGCCCAGGGCAGTTGGTAGGGCAACGGGTTTAGCAAACGCGCACCTTCTTGGGTGCGAGATTGGACTCACTGCCTCTTCACAGCAACCCTGTGGACACACTCATCATCACCCCTATTTCACAAATGGGGAAACTGAGGCACAGGGAGGTAAGTGACTTGCTCCAGGTCACAAAGCCTGGAAAATGGTAGTACCAGTGGTCAAAGCAAGTAAAACAAAGCTTTTGCCATTGTGTTTAAGACTCAGGAAAACTATCAGAATCACTTTTTATTTCACTGCATTAGGAACACCATCTAGTGGCTTGAACATCTTAAAATTTCCAGTAAATTAACCTTCCAGTGCACCTTGAAGAAAGGCTTAGAAGCTTAGCATTAAATTTTCCACATTAACTGGTAGAATTTTAGGTAAACAATTTTCTCACTATTTACTGTTTTATGGCTTCTCTAATTATCTGGACAATGTTTCAAAGTATTTGAAATGACTAAAAGAAGGAGGGTCTTTAGTGTCCATAGCAGAAAGTAAAATACTAAATACACTGCAAAATAATATAGAAAATTTCTTAACTCCTTTAAGAAATTTTTTAGTAGCTCATTGAACAATGACTACTATATAAGGAAATAGGAAAAAAATATATTTGCTTTAAAACTTTTTTCCCCCATATATATATATGTATTTAAAATATTTTATTTTTGTTGTTGGTGTTGAGAACATACACAGCAGAACATACACCAATTCAGCAATTTCTACATGTACAATTCAGTGATATTGATTACATTTTTCCAGTTGTACATCCATTCTCACCCTCCTTTTCTGCATTGTTCCTCCCCCAGTAACATAAACTCACTGCCCCCTAAATTTCCTGTCTGCTCTTTCGAGTTACTGATGTCAGTTTGATCCCATGTGGATAGATCTTAAAAGAGCACAATGCTCAAGGCAGACATTCTTTACTAGTTAAGCTAAACTACTGTTTGGTTTTAAGAAGACTTTAGGGGATGTTGTTGTTTAAGGTTTAAAGATGATCTCAGGGCAATAGAGTCAGGGGTTCATCCACCTTCCATGGCTCCAGAAAGTCTGGATTCCATGAGAATTTGAAACTCTCTTCTGCATTTTCCCTCTTTTGATCAGGATTCTTCTATGGAATCTTTTATCAAAATGGAACTCATATTTTTGATGTTATATTTTTACGGACTTTTGAAGGGTGGTGTCTTAGTTATCTAGTGCAGCTGTAACAGAAATACCACACGTGGATGGCTTTAACAAAGAGAAATTTATTCTCTCACAGTCTAGGAGGCTAGAAGTCCAAATTCAGGGTACCAGCTCCAGGGGAAGGCTTTTTCTCTCTGTTGGTTCTGGGGGAAGGTCCTTGTCATCAATCTTCCTCAGCTGAGGAGCTTCTCAGTGCAAGGACCCCAGGTCCAAAGAACACACTATTCTTCTGGCTCTTGTTTCTTAGTGCTATGAGGTCCCATTCTGTCTTTTATATCTCAAAAGAGATTTACTTAAGACACAGCCTAATCTTGTAGATGGAGTCCTGCCTCATTAACATAACTGCTGCTAATCCTGCCTCATTAACATCATAGAGGTAGGATTTACAACACATAGGAAAATCACATCAGATGACAAAATGGTGGACAATCACACAATACTTGGAATCATGGCCTACCCAAGTTGACACATATTTTTGGAGGACACAATTCAATGACAGGTGGTTTATGGGTTTTTGTTTGATACAGATCATGAACTGGGACAATGTGGCTCTAAAACCTGTGCCCCTAACCAGTTCCTAATACTGTCTGTTATAATCATTCATTTGTTTAGTTACTCAACAAATATTTATTGAGCACCTACAGCGTGTCAGGCCTTGTTCTGTGGTGAGGATTCAGCCGTGATGTGGCTTCTGACCTTAGGGAGGGTGAGCTCACATTCTACTGGGAGACACACAATAAGCACAACAAATAAATATATGTGCAGTGATGATAAGAGCTGTGAAGAAGCATAAGGAGGTTAAGAGGCTAGAGAGGCACAGAGGATAGAGTAGCAGTGACTGTTTTAGGCAGGCTCGTCAGGGAAGGCTGCTAAGGTAGGGACATTTGTGCTGAGACCTGAAGGAAGTGAGGAAGCAGCCGTGTGGACATCTGAAGGAGGACTGTTCGAGGCAGAGGGAATTGCACGTACAAACGCCCTGAGGCCGGTGTGGCTGGAGCAGATGAGTGAGGAGGAAAGGTAATAGGGTGTGGGGGACAATGGGGATAGCTTGTCCATGATTAGACCTTGTATTTATACTGAGTATGACTGGAAGACCCTAGAGGGTTCTGAGTAGAGCAGGGACATGATCTGACTTAGGTTTTCACAGGTGTCTTTCACAGGCATTCACCATGCTGGATACAGCTGTGAACAAGACACTCAATTTGTGCTGTTATGGAGCTTACACTTCAGTGGGGAGACACATAGTAAACCAAAAATGCCAAGATAGTCATTAATTTATTCAACCCATATTTATTGAGCTCCAGGCATTGTTCTACATGCTGGAGATAAACAGCTGTGGCAAAATGGTCAAAGTCCCTGCTCCGCTGGCATGACATTCTAGTGGCGGGGTTGCGGGGGTAGTAAGAAAAATATCTGTTTGTCAGATGGTGGTAAGTCTTGGAGAAAGATAAATTAGGGTAGGGGGAGACACATTATAAATTGTAATTACATAATTACAAATTGAGGTAAGGGGCAGGAATGAAACAAAGCAGGGTTTCTACATTAGATCTGGTGGTCAGGGAAGACCCCTTTCTAGCAGCAGAGGTCATTAAAGTATACTGTTTATTAGAACCACCTGGGAGGGGGTTGTATATTAAAAATACAGATTCCTGGTGCCAGCCCCAACAATGCTGGCTCAATGGGCCCGGGACTTGGAGACTGGCATTTTTCACAAGATCCCTATTTTGAGATATTTTGGTCTGGAGATGTGTAGGCAAGACAGTGGAGTGTCTAGGAGTCCAGACTTCAATGACAACAGCTGTGCTATGTGGGCAAGTTACTGAACCTCAGTTTCTGCTTCTATAAAGTGGGCTAATAAATAGTGCCCATCTCATAGGGTTGCTGTAAGGATGAAGTGAAGTAATGCAGACAGTAAGTACTTAATAATTTGAGCTATTATGTCAGGAATAAGGGAGCAAGGGTTAGGAAGGGGTAGTTTCTGGCAAACGAGAGAGAAATTAGGAAGAACAGAAGGAAGAAAGAAGAGAGCAAATAGGTGTGGCAGGGGTGGATGGTGAGAGCCAGAGAAAGTAGTCACAGGGACCGTTCACTGAGGGTGTGCTGAGTGTGAGGCGCCACACACTCATGAATAATCTCTCTTCATCTTTACAGCAGCTGTCTGAAGTAGGTATTAGTTTCCTTACCTTGAGAATGAGTATAATGGGGCTCTGGAAGGTTAACTAACTTGCCCAGTTTCCCTTAGATGGTAAGTGGCAGAGCTGGGATTTGAATCAAGGTGTGCCTAGGCCTAACGTCCAAGTCTCACTCACTATGTGGTTCGCTGCAGCTTGCAGTTTTAAGCCCACTCAGTTTTAAGCCTTCTGACTCATAGTGACCCTGTAGGACAGAGTAGAACTGCCCTAGAGAGTTTCCAAGAGTGCCTGGTGGATTCGAACTGCCAAACTTTTGGTTAGCAGCCATAGCTCTTAACCACTACACCACCAGGGTTTCTGTTTAAGATAAGGCTAATAAACAGAGCAGTTGGAGGATGAATTGATACCATGTGCCAAGTGAGGTACAGTGCCTGGCACAGAGTAGGCAGGCCCCACAATTGTTGGTTATTGTTATTTTAGACTTTATGTACCTCTTGAGTATGACCTTAGGCCAGACATTTAACCCTTCAGACTCTTGTTGCTTCCACAGGGGCCTTGTTCAGAGAGTACTTACTGTACTTACTTAGCTCAGCTACCTGACAGGAAATGGGGGCTGTTATCGTCCACTCTTTGCCTCCCCTGCTTCAACTCCAGACACCCTGCCACCTCTGCTGCTTTCTTACCTCCCTAAGACAGCTTTCATTATAACAGTGAAACCTCTGAGAGCCGGAACTCGGCCGGACTGCCTTATTTTTCTGGGTCTTGCAACTTTTCTGCCTTTGACAGGGTGCAGGGTGCAGTCTTACCACTTTTCTATCGCTTGTTTTAGTGGAAAATATGTGAGTTTTTCTTCTCTGACAGGTTTCCACCTTACACAGCTCCGGCTTTCACAGGATTTATGGTATTAGATTTTATTGATTCTAAGATGCCATCAATATAAGACACACCTTTATTTTAATTACCTACTAATAAATAAAATATCCCCCCCCCTTCAGAGATGCAAAATTAGGGGAAAAGGGGCGTTTCATAAAGGATGAAAATAGTAACCTAGCAGGCGAGATGCTCTGACGCGAAGACAATGGGGAACCGCCGCCCAGCTCGGCCGCATTTACCAGTCGCGGCCACAAGGGGGCAAGTGTCCGGCGGGGAGGCACTGGTATCCAGGCTCCCAGAGGCTCCGGCCGGTCCCGCGCAGCGCCGCCTCCCTTCCTTCCGTCCGCAGATGGTGCTCAGGAACCGGCGAACCTCGCTGCAGGTGCTCCAGAACCACGAGAACTTCCTTACCAAGCTCAACCAGGACCTGGTCAAGACCATCCAGAACGTGGAGGACAGCACGGCCCTGAAAGTGCGGGAAATGCTGCAGCAGCAGAACATCCTCGGGGTAAGACCCCGCACGGGTGTCTGCAGCCCCGCCTCAGCTCTGCGCAGCGCGCGTGCCCAAGGCTTCCGCTGCCCTCCGAGCGCTCCGGCGCCCTCTCCTGCCCTCCCGTTGCACAAGAGGCTTGCTCCACCTCGAACATGCATCCTTCCCCCTTTGCCCCACCCACTGGGGCTTTGGGATCGGACCGAGGTGGGGTCTCATCCAAATGCTCACTAGCTAGGAGACTTGAGTTAATCTCGCCTCCTGGAGCTTCAGTTTCCTCACCTGGCACACAATAGGTGTGCAAGAGAAAGTAGCTGCTGTAATCTCTATAATACAAAGTGCTGTATATACACACACTACACACACGTTGGTTGCCATCGAGTTGATTTGGGCTCATGGCAACCCCATGTGTGCAGAGTAAAACTGCTCCATGGGGTTTCAAGCAGCCCCCCAGGCCTGTCTTCCGAGGAACCTTTGGTGGGTTCCAGCTGCCAACCTTTCATCTAGTAGTTTGCACCACATGCATATACGTCTGTATAATCCTTAACAGCAAGGTGGGTACTATTATTATCCTTATTTTACATATGAAGGCATGGAAACACAGAGAGGCTAGCTGACTTGCTCAAAGGTCACCCAGCTAGCAAGTGTCAGAGCTGGGATTTGAACGCAGGCATGCTGGCACCAGGGTCTGTGCTCTTTCCACTGTGCTGCCCTCTTCCCAGTGGCGGCACTTACAGTCTGTGGGGAAGATTAACTTTGCAGAGAACCCAGGGAGCATCCTCTGCTTCCTCTAGGACAGGCTTGGTGACCCTGGGGTGAGAGGGCTGAAAGTTAACAGGGGACCGAGGAGTTTTGGCTGGAGAAGAGTCTTGAGAAAATGGCTTAATTGAAAATTAATTGCCCGCTGTCTGCAGACTGCAGGGAGCAGAAGGATTGAGCTCACCTGGAGCCTGTGAGATGAGGGGAGAATTCAGACTTCTTGGGGACTAAGGCCAAAGAAATAGAGAGTTATTCAGCCCAAAGAAACTTAGTAGAACATTCTCCAAACTTAAGATTAAGTTATTCTCTGATTTTTCTCCGTTGGTCCATTTATACATTTTTTGTTTATTCCAATTGCCTCCTACGGGCCAGGCCCTTGGGAAATAGCATTCAGCAGGATATCCTCATCCACATCGAGCTCATGTTCTAGTGGGGTCACAGACAGTTAGAAAACCTTGTACATGTACTGTGATGAGAATGCAGGGCTTGCCGAGCTCAGAGGGGGCCTCTAGCCAAGACATGGGAGGATTGGGAAGGCTTCCTGGAGAAAGAGATGCTTGGGCAGTGTCTTAGTCATCTAGTGCTGCTCTAATAGAAATACCACAAGTGAATGGTTTTAACAAAAAGAAATTTATTCTCTCACAGTCCAGTAGGCTACAAATCCAAATTCAGGACGTCAGCTCCAGGGGAAGGCTTTCTCTCTCTGCTGGCCTTCTTCTCATCAGTGTTCCCCCAAACTAGGAGCTTCTCCATGCAGGGACCCCAGGTCCAAAGGACGCGCTCTGCTCCTGGCACTGCTTTCTTGGTAGTATGAGGTCCCCCACTCTCTGCTTGCTTCCCTTTCCTTTCATCTCTTGAGAGATAAAGGTGGTGCAGGCCACACCAGGAAAACTCCCTTTACATTGGATCAGGGATGTGACCTGGGTAAGGTGTTACAATACCACCCTAATCCTCTTTAATGTAAAATTACAATCACAAAATAGAGGACAACCACACAACACTGGGAATCATGGCCTAGCCAAATTGATACACACATTTTTTTGGGGAACACAATTTAATCCATGACAGGCAGAAAACTGCAGAAGTAGGTGTTAACTGGGAGAGAGTGGGAGAATGTTGTGGGCAGAGGAAATGGTATGCACAAAGCCTGGGGTGAAAGGGAACATAGCATGTTGTTTAACTTGGCTGGACAATAAAGTGTGAGGAGGGGATAACAGAGAGATGAGGTTGGCATAAGCTAGATCTTTGAGCCTTGTTGGCTAAGGTAAGGAGATTGGACCTTTCCATAGGATAGTGAGCAGCCATTGAAGAGTTTTAAATAGGAGGAGGACATGGTCAGCTGTTTTTTTAAAAGAAGGATTCTGATTGTTGTGTGGAGAATAGAGCAAAGGAAGACCATTTAGGAGTAGCTGTTGGCAATATTTCAGGTGGGAGATAAAGAGAACTTGAATATGATAGTGGCCCTGGAGATGGAGAGAAGGGCATGACTATGAGAGCTGTTTGGGGATGAAATCTATATACAACTTGGTGACATTCAGATGAGAGAGCCGAGTAAGGACTGATGCCGGGGCTGGGGCTTGTGTGGCCAGGGGTGTGGTAGGGCCATCGGCTGAAGGTAGTGTGGTAGGGGAGGGGAAGTTCGGAGGGGAGTGGGGCAACAGGTGACTTCTTCAGGCTGTAGTATGTTTGCAGGGTTTGGGAGTGGGGTTGCGTTTGGGGACTCCTCTAATGAAGTGCTAAGAGGCCACAGCAGGCTGTGCTCCCTGCCCC